ATGAGGATGAGGAGGTAGGTGCCATGTGCCCCATGAGCATGTTCTATGCACCCCTTGAGCACACCATGCACCCCATGAGCAGGTGAGTGTGCCATACACCCCACGAGTGTGCCCTCACAGAGCCCCATGCCTGGGGCTGCAGGGTGTGGTGCTAACAAGGCTGTGCTGCAGGGCGAGCAGTTCTTGTACCATGAGGACTGGGGGGAGGCACTGAGCACTCGCAGTGTGCCCATCCTCTGCGTCCTGGACCTGGAGAGCAGCAGCCTCTCAGTGCTGGAGGGTATCCCAGAGCACCTCTCCCCTGGCCAGGTCAGGATGGGGATGCAGGGATCGCCCCAGGGGATCCAGCCTGGGGCTGTGGAATCAGCCTGGCTGTCACACAGGCCCTGTGGTCCCCTGGTGATCGTGGTGTGGTGTTCGTGGGCTGGTGGCATGAGCCCTTCCGCCTGGGTCTGAGCGCCTGCTCCAACAGGAGGTGGGTCCCTCTCAGCATCCAGCACTATGCCAGGATGCCCCTGCAGTACCAGCACAGCAGAGGTCCAACCTGACCCACTCTTCCTCCCCAGGTCAGAGATTTTCCACTTGGACCTGTCAAGCGGGTGCTGTGGTGAGCACTGAGGCCCTGGGGGGTGCCCAGGGGGTCCCTGGGGTGCTGACCCCTTGCTGCCCACAGAGCTGCTGTCAGCAGAGAATGGTGCCGCCTGCTCCCCCCGGCTGAGCCCTGATGGCCAGCGCCTTCTTTACCTGGAGGGGGCTGTGGGGGGGCCCCACCGGCAGTGCCTGCGCCTGTGCATGGTGAGTTGGGCCCCACGGGCACCAGGCACAGCTGTGCCACCCTGTGCTGCCAGTGTGGTGTCCAGCTTGGCTGTCACAGCCTCTTGTAGTGCCCAGCTGGGGCGAGGGGACCCCAAGCCCCTCCGCCTCAGTTTCTCCCAGCGTGGGCCCATCCCTGACCCCCAGCTCTCCGCAGCTCACCTGGCAGACGAGGCAGACGGTGACAGTGCTCGATGTGGTGCAGGAACCCACGGAGGGTGAGCACAGCACAGTGGGCAGGGCTGGGTGCTGCCAGGGGGCTGAGACTCTCCCCAGCCAGATGCCCACGACCCCCAGTTCACTAGCCCAGCACTCTGCCCCACTCGTAGCCTTCGCCGGGCTCTACACAGAGGTGCTGCCTCCACGGTGCTGGGCAGCCGACAGCCGGCGAGCCGTGCTGAGCACCCCGCAGAGGAGCCGCACGGTGAGTCCTGGGGAGGGCAGGGCCAGGGGTGTGACCCCTCCTCCTATGGTGACACCCCTGTGCTCTGCCCCCTCACAGGACCTGCTGCTTGTGGACACGGGCGGCCACTGCACCAACCTGACGGCAGGTACGTGGCGCTGGGCTGCCCACGGTGCCCCAGTGAGCAGCTGCGATCACCAACATGCTCTCTGTCCCCAGGGTCGCCTGAGGGATGCTGGGAACTGCTCACTCTCCAGTGGGACCTTCTAGTGGCCACCTGCTCTGCTCCACACCATCCCCCCAGCCTGGTGAGCAGAGCCGTGGCACCGTGCGGCACAGTGGGATATGGCACGGTGATGTGCAGCCAGGCACAGCGTGGTGTGGCACATATGGCGTGGTGTGCCATGGCATGGCCAGGCACAGAGTCACATGGCTCAGCCAGATCCAACACAGCACAGCCTTGGCATGGCACAGCCTTGCGCTGCCACGGCTCTGGTGCCACCCGCTGCCTGTGCCCAGGTGGTGGCTGTGCTGCCGCCGGCAGGCCGGGAGCTGCCCCTCCGCTGGGTGCCAGTGGAGGACACCCCAACAGTGCCTGGTGTCACCTGGAAGACCCTGACGGTCCGGCCATCCTGCAGTGGGCAGAGCCCTGCTGCGCATGGTGAGCACTTGCAGGTCCCCACCACACCTGGGTGCTGAGGACCCTTGGGAGCAGGGGGTGGGCCGGGTGCCCAGGGTGCTGGGTGCTGAACAGGACCCCTTTCCTGGCATAGACACCCAAGATTTTGAGGCCCTGCTGCTGAGCCCGTTGGATGGCACAGCACCACACCCCCTCATTGTGTGCCCCCATGGTGAGTGAAGGGATGGTGGGGACACCCTGGCAGCACTGGTGGCAGTCCAGGTGACGTCTATGCTGGCCCCAGGTGGCCCCCATGCCGTCTTCGATGCCCGCTGGCGCCCAAGCATGGCTGCACTGTGCCAGCTTGGCTTCGCTGTGCTCCTGGGTGAGTGCTGGGGAGCTCGGGGATGTGTGGTCCTGTGTCCCACTGGAGACATGGCACCCACGGCTCCCATCTCCCCAGTGAACTACCGTGGCTCCCTGGGCTTTGGCCAGGCCAGTATCAGCTCCCTGCTTTCCCGTGTGGGTGAGCAGGACGTGGCGGACACCCAGGTGGGCTGGGGCTGCTGGGGGGGTGCTGCTGGGAGGATGCTGATGTTTGAGTGGAGGTGGTGGGGTCTGCTGGGAGGACGCTGATGTTTGGGTGCCAATAAGTGGGTACCGCCCGGGTGCAGCTTGGCCAGTCGGGCAGCAGCGCTGCACAGTGAGCCCTGGACCCGCACCGCCTGGCCCTGCTGGCTGGCTCCCACGGAGCCTTCATCGCCCTCCACCTCCTCATCCGTGAGCCCGAGCGCTACCAAGCCTGTGCCCTGCGTGGCCCCGTCTCCAACCTGCCCGCGCTGCTGGGCACCTCTGACATCCCCGACTGGTGAGTGCCACCCCCCTCCTGTGCCTTGCCACACACCACCCGTCCCCACAGCACCCACCAGCGCCTCTGTGCCGCAGGCGCTACACCTCCCTGGGGCTGCCCTACTCCTTTGAGCGGGTGCCACGTGCTGAGGAGGTGGCCACCATGCTACTGCGCTCGCCCATCGCCCAGGCAGCCCAGGTAAGGCAAGATCAGGATGGGTGCAGGGTGCCAGGCGTGGGGTGCCAGGCACGCACCGGGACTGTGCTGCAGGTGCGGACGCCGGTGCTGCTGTGCGTGGGCGCCCGGGACCGGCGCGTCAGCCCCACGCAGGCGCTGGAGCTGTACCGGCTGCTGCGGGCCAGGGGCGTGCCGGCGCGGTGAGTGGGGTGCAGGTGGGAGCTGGGAGGGAGCCCCAGGGTGCTGGCTGAGCATCCCTCCATCCCATCCCACCCTGCAGGTTGCTGTGGTACCCAGAGGGTGGCCACGCCCTGACCGGTGTGGAGACAGAGGCCGATGTCTTCAAGAACTGCGCCCGCTGGCTCCTCCAGCACCTTGGGCAGCCAAGGCAGGACAGGACAGGCCAGCACAGTCCCTAGTGCCCACAGTGGTCCTGGGCTATACTGACCCCAGGGTGACCACTGGCCCTGGGGACCACACCAGGGATGAGAGGATGGAGCAAGTGTAGCTGAGGGCAGGATGGGACATGGGTTGTATGATGCTAAATAAATGTGTGAGACCACCCTCTGCAGTGTCAACCCCCACGGCCACAGCCGTGTCTTTATTGCACAGTGGCAGCTGTGCCAGGCCAATGGGACTGAGCCAGCTCAGCCCATCTTCATCACTTTGTAGATCCAGTCGACATAGAGGGAAACACGGATGAAGAGGGCGGGCTGGTCGGTGCGGGCACAGACACGGGAGGGGATGATCACCCCCTCCAGCACCCAGCAGTCGGCGGTGAGGCAAGCCAGCGGTCCCCCATAATCGCCCTGTGGCACAAAGAGAGCAGTGTCACCCTGGTGCTGGATCCTGCGGGGCAGGTCCCCAGCCCGGCTCACCTCACAGGCGCCCACGCCGGCGCGCAGCGGGGCAGTGCACAGCTCGCTCTCCTTCAGGCGCCCGCGCAGCGCCTTGTTGCAGTCGTCGTGGGCCAGCACCGGCAGCTGCGCCACGTTCAGCACGCTGCTGTCTGCCGTGCCTGCGGGCAGCAAGCACGGGATGCACCAGGAGGAAAGCAGGGATATCGGAGGGTGTGGCATGGGCAGAGCGTGCCATGGGCAGAAAGTGCTGTGGGAGAGGGATGGCATGGGCAGGAGGATGTCATGGGCAGGTGGATATCATAGGCAGAAGGATGCTGTGGAAGGGAGATGTCGTGGAAGAGGGATGCCATGGCCAGGAGATGCTGTGGGCAGGGAGATGGTGTGTGCAGGAAAGTGCCATGGAAGTGGGATGCAATGGAGGGAGATGCTGTGAGCAGGGGCATGCCAAGGACCAGGGCTTGCTGTGGGCAGAGGATGCCATGGACATGGGGATGCTGTGGGCAGCGAACAGTACGGATGAGGAGATGCCATTGCAGGGGAATGGCGTGGGCAGGGGATGTACTGGATGGGGATGCCCTGGCAGGGGCTGCCCGTGGCAGGTACCTCTGGTTTCCCCCCAGCCGGCGATCTCGCAGACAGTGCCCGCAGGCACGACATAGCGCTCGGGGGGCAGGCAGATGAGGGCCACACGCCTGTTCAGAGTGGCTGGCCTGCAGTGAGAGGGCAGCGGGACATGGTGCCAGCCTGGCCAGTGGTGGGGAGGATGGAGGCCAGGGCACGGCCACTCACCTCGCCAGCTTCAGCATCACCAGCTGGGACTCAGAGGGTCCGCAGACGATCCGCACAATGGGGATGGTCTGCTGGTCAGGGTCCCCAGGGCCGGGATCCCTGAAGAGTGTCCCCAGCTGCACCTCATAGCCCGTTAGGTCAGCGTCACTGCAGGACAGGGAAATGAGGGCACAGAGGGGTCCCAGCACCCCATGACCCAGCCCCAGTCTTACCAGGAGGAGAAGCACTGGGGTGTGCTGATCACCCACTGCTCCTTCACCAGGGACCCCCCGCAGAAGTGCACTCCCTCCCTGTGGGAACAAGGGGTTAGCTCTGGGGGGACACTGGCCAAGCTCTGGGGGGACACTGGCCAAGCTCTGGGGGGACACTGGCCACATGGCAGTGCAGGCGGGACACCCACTCACCGGTTGCGGATGCTGACAGTCCAGGGTGAGTTGCCGGGCTGGCCACCGACGATGCGCCCCTTCCACTGCAGCATCTCGTCCCGCTGGCCACACTGCTCGAACGCCACCGCGTCTGCAGGCAGGGTGGGCATCAGCCAGGGCTGTGCCATCAGCACCTGCCCCACGGCACCCAACTGGCACCCACGGCCCCCCACCTGCATTCTCCAGGATGGAGGGCACCTGGCTGCTGGCTGCAGAGAGAAAGCACAGGGTGGCATTGAGGCAACATCCAGCCACCCTGAGGGGACCAAAACCACCCCAGTGGGTGGCCAGGGTCCTCCCCTAGCTCTGCTGGCATGTGGGTAGGGGCTCACAACAGGGCTTGATGGCACAGTAGTCAAAGGGGGTGCGGGGGTCCATGGTGTAGCACCAGGGGCCATGGCTGTCGTTATCGGGGTTGCGGCAGTAGTTCTCCTCCAGGTGTACCTCAGGGTGGGTGACAGGTGAGATCCTGATGGGAGGAAGTCACCATCACTGTCACCATCCCTATCCTCATTTCCATCCCCGGCCCAACCCCATCTCCATCCCATCCCTGTCCCTGCGGCCCCTCCTCGCACACTCACTGGGGCACGTGGGGTGTCTGGGCAGCCCACGGCTGGCAGGTGATGCCCTTGCGTGTCTTGCTGACGTGGCCGTGGTAGTGCTTGCCGTGGCCGTGGTAGCACTCTGGGGACAGGCAGGGAGGGCTGGCACCCCCGGCAGGCACCCTGGGGTTGGTGCCTGGGGGCGGGTGCCTGGCATGGCTCACCTTGGGCATCCTGCTCGTCGGGGCAGCGGCGGATGTGGAAGCAGAAGGCGATGCGGACGGTGGGGCGTGCAGTGAAGCACCACGGTGCCTCCGAGCCATCGGGGTTGCGGCAATAGTTCTCCTTTAGGTCCCTGCAGGTGTAGGGGCCATGTAGGTGTCCCCCCTCAATCCCACACTCATGGGCACTGCGCTCTGCCACTCTTCCTGGGCTCATCCCCCACCCCTTACTTGCACGGGTACTTCTCAGGCACGAAGTTGTGCTTGTGGGGCACCTGGGAGTCCCAGCGCTGGCAGGGGATCCCTGACACGGTGACGTTCACTCGGCCTCGGTAGCTTTCGCCCTTGCCCCTGAAGCAGCCGGTGGTGACATTGACAGGACGTGGGTGTTTTTCTGCTTGTGTGGCCAGAGAAGGGCAGAACAGCAGGGTCAGGGTGGCACCTGGGACCCCCAGTCCCAGCTGTGTGTGACGCCAGCATGGACTTACTGCAGAGGCGGATGTGGCAGAACTCGCGCTCCCGCCCGGGGTCAGTGGTGTAGCACCAGGGCCGCTCGGAGCTGTCGGGGTTGCGGCAGTAGTTGTCATCCAGCCCCTTGTCGGGGTACCTGGGCCAGAGGCAGGGAGCAGCAGTTGAGGTGGTACCACCACCGTGGCACCTGGCACCGCCAGGGCACTGTGTGCTGCCCGGGGCTGGGGTTGGTACTTGTTGGGGTGGTAGGGGTGCTTGTGCGGGTGCTGCAGGTCCCAGCGCTGGCACTCCGTCCCCGACTCGGTGTGGTCCACAGTGCCACGGTAGTCCTCCCCATTGCAGGTCATGCAGACAGCTGCCAATAGCCAAGGGGGGGTTCAGTGTGGGAAGGACATACAGCCCAGGGTCACCCTGGGATGTGGCACTCACCGTCCTCACACTTCTTGATGCCGCAGCTCTGGTGCCGGACGTTGGGATCGACGGTGTAACACCACGGGCCCCGCTTGTCCCGGTCGGGGTTTCGACAGTAATTCTCCTCCAGCCCGTTGCGGGGGGATGGCAGGAATCTGCAGGCAGCAGGGTGGGTAGGAAGGCTGCCAGGAACCCCCTGCCCCAGGGTGGGCACAGCCACAATGCTATGCCACCCCTGGTTGGTGCCACTGCCCCCATGCTGTTCCCGTTGCTCCTGTGCTGTCCCCATCCCATTCCCCATTGCCCCATGCTGTTAAGGGCCACTGGTGGGTGCCATGGGGCAGCCAGAGACACGGAGGCACCTGTGGTCATGCGGTGTCATGGATTGCCAGTGCTGGCAGCGCAGCCCCTTCTCTGTCGTGGCCCGTGTGCCGCGGTAGCTGGAGCCATTACCCACGATGCAGTCCCGAAGATAGTCTGGGCAGAGCCAGGCACCTTATCAGAGCCCCGGGGCCAAGCCAGGGCACATGGACAGTGGGAAGCCCTGTGCCAGGTGCCCTGTGCCCAGTCTGTGGTGTCCCTGTGTCCACCTGTGGCAGCAGCCCACCTTTCTTCTGGTACAGGTCGTAGTGGATGTTTTTCTGCAGCTGGACGCGGAGCGAGTGCTGTGTCCACGGCAGCAGCTGGCACAGCTGGCTCTGCTGGTCATGGTGGAAAGCCCTGGGAGGCACAGCAGGAGTCTGGCACGGCACTGTGCGAGGCCAGGGCCTGGGGGACCTGGGTCACATATGAGCACCCAGCATCCAAGTGCACAGTG